TCTGTCAGTTCATAATATGAATCATGACACCCAGACTGGTTCTTGATAGTCGAAATTCTTGTTCTAGGCCCTTCCGAACTCTCAAAGCAGGATTTATTTTTTATATAATAATGAGAGGAAAATATTATTTAATAGACTGAAATACTTAAGTCAAACAAGACCCCAGTACGACACTGAACACTGACATGTTGTTGACTGGATACATGTATATTGTACGCGTGTGTGCTCCCTTTTTCAAGCTAGTGAGCTAGTAATTTTTTTCCGGGAAATATTGCTGGACACCCTGAACATTTTACTATTACTGGTTGGTCGGTCGGTCGTGGGGAATACACATTTTCATATTTCCCAATACTCATTTCGGTTTTCTGTGATTGGCATACAAACCTTCAACCCCCTGACAGAAAATCCTCGAAAAATGACATCAGCTGCTGGAAGCTCTGCAAAACCTGGCAAATGCTTTCAAAATTGACGGGTAATTGATAGGTTTTGTAACATAAAAATATAGTTCACTGCCACTCATCATGTCAGTTTTGGTAGGTGGGTGGTTGGCGGGTGCTCTGGTGTGGTTTGCTTCTTCTTTCCTATCAAACATCTATCGTCCTGATCTCTTTCCCTTTTTTATGTTTGTTACTCTCTTGTAACACCTAATCTTCGGCACATATATGACCTTATTGTGTTGCAAGTGCAGTAAGATTCTTACTTTATAAAAGTTATGGTGGGTCCTGTTGTAGTTCACTGATGCTAATTTTTATGTCAATTCTTTGTTTCGTTTTTTTCCTCATAATGAGGCCGAGATTTGTAACGAATTGTATCCTCCATCCATGCAATAACATTAAAATTGATTCATCTTTTTATTTGCAGTGTGTTTTTAATGGTGGCTGTGTCTCATCATTTTATCTTCTAACACTTCTTGCATTGCATCATTTTCCTCCAATTTTGTCCTTATTTAAAAATCTATTTATTTTTGTTTCAGTGTCACTGAATAAACTTATTGAGGAGAAAGAGGAGGGTGCTGATAACAAAGGTAATTTGATACTTTTGAAGAGTACAGGCAAAACTGTCAAAGACACTCACTGGTTGAGTACAAGGGTGGCCATCTTACACAGTGCCATTATAATGTAAAAAAATGTATATACAAAGTGGGAGGTGGTAGTTTGTACAGATAGTCTTAAAGAGCTGGTCGTAAGAGCAAGTAGGCCTGCATTTATACGTAAAATTGTTGCCCTTTTTTTTTTCAAGAGACGCTTTGTTGGCATAAATGAACATAGGAACGGGTTGAATTTTTACTATGTAGCTGTTTGTTTCTAATATAAGTGATTTGTTTTTTACATTGTTGATGTTGCGATCTGATGTGACATTGGCCACTTTTATCAGTGTTTGGTGGTTATAGTGAATGTTAACTGGCAAGACAAGAGGTTTTGTCATGTGCCAACCAATCGGAAAAGGTGGCGTGCTCAATCTGGCAGCGACTGCACACCCTCAGTCAACGCTCCGAATGTTCCATCCACTTATAGTGGATTCCAGGCTGGACTGGCTGGGAACGAGGAAGTTGACAGCATCGCCAAAGAAGCAGCAGCGCTTACCCAGATTGACACGCCAATCGATTTCTCAACATCTAAAGCCGTCATCCACCGGTCGACCCACACGAAGTGGAAAACAAAGGTGAAAACCATACTACCGTTTGCTCAGCCACCATCATACCAGCTTGAAGCCTCGCTCAGATGACAGGACCGCAGGCTTCTCTCCCAAATTAGTACTGGTGGAAAATCGCCCAAGCTGAGATCATATCTCCACAAAATTGTGCCAGCAGACAACCCAGATCCGTCCTGTCGAGCCTGCAAGGAGGACAAGGGGACTATGGGCCATGTGTTTCTGAGATGTCCCGCCAACTATCCTGCCAGAACTCGTCTGCTAGGACATTTCAGTACCCACTTTCAGCACTTTTCAAGGACCCCCCGAGCGACTGTTGAGTTCTCGCGTGCTATCGGCATCGCTGAACGTTTATGACGCCTCAGCACCAAAAGAAAGAGAGAGAGAAGAGGTTTTGTCCGGGTTTTTGAAAAATATATGGTGTATGTGAAAATGTTTGTTTTATAAGGGATTAAGTTGTGATTGTTCCTTTTAAAAGTGTCAATTTTTCCGCAGAAAACTGCGAGACAGATGCTCTGATGAAGTACAAAGAAGAGATCAAGGAGCTGCAGGAAATCATACCAGAGATGAGGAACAAGGTAAGTTTGTGAATGGTGTGCCGTGGGTTTTGTCTCTTTTCATACACACAAACCTAGGGGTTTTGAATGTTGCTTCGAAGCAGACTTTGGCTTGTAATTCATGTTTAGGTTAATATCTCATAAATATCGAGAGTGTCTGAATTTGTTTTAGATTATTTTTTTATTTCTCTTTCTTTTTTCCCTCTTTTTCATTAGATCGAGGACACTAAAGTGGAAGAAAGAGACCTGCAGAAGATGAGGGAAATGGCTTGTGAAATGTTGGGACTATCAAGTGCCTCAAAGGTTTGTATGTGTTAACTTTTTTAATGATTATATTATAATTTGAAATAGGCCAACAGTCAATAGTATGCATTGTCTGTAAAAGATTAAAAATAAGAATTTGATGTAAACCATTACATCTCTCGGCGAAAACATCTCGTGATGTGCATTTCTTCAAGGAACAATGGGAAAGTTGAGAAGCATTGTTTTATTCATTAGCATCACACATAGGAATGAGATGCAAATACTGCTGTGTGTTCCTGCATATGGTTTTACAAGTATTTGGTGTTCATAGAGTAAGTGAAAAGGGCCATTTAGTCTGTCTGATGGACATCTTGAATCAAGACTTCCCAGGAGTTTCGTCTTATGTTGATTTCAGTGGGTTGTTGGGGGGTGCTATGGTGTGGTTTGCTCGTTCTTTCCAATCAAACATCTATCGTTCTTATCTCCCCCTTTTTTTTTCTTTTTTTTTTTTTTGTTACTCTCTTGTAACACTTCTAATCTTCTGGCGCTCATGTGACCTTATGCAGTTGCGAGCGCCGTAAATCCTGTACTAAAACTAAAACTATCTCTCCTCCTTTTTTGTGTTTGTTACTCTCTTGTATCACTTCTAATCTTTGTCACTTATATGACCTTGTGTTGCAAATGCCATAAAACACTTACTAAAACTAATGGGGTGCCTTTGAGTCTGTCTTTGTGGATATAAATCGTGTTTTCCAACCTGAGCGGAATCGGCTGTGTGTGTTGGGTTGTTTTGATGGGTAGTTAGGATCATCCTGGTAACGAGATGTATTAATGCCCTTCTAGGAAATGCATGTTGGGGGGGGGGGGACGAAAATTTTAGCCTGTTATAAATAGATGGCAAAAGTGGACACTGGCTTTAAAAGGGTTGACAAGAAGCTCTGATGTAGTGAATGATTACAATTTTGTTCACCAGGGATTTGGCTCCCCTTCAAAGAGAGTGAATTTGAATGGAGCAGGCAGCAGTGAAAGTGCAGATGTCGATGAGAATGGAGAGGTAAAAAAGTGTCTGATTGGTCCATAGTAGCACTCTCATTTTTAATATAAATATATAAAAATTTGTGTGTGTCTTTGTCATTATGCGGTTGAATCAGGCGCTCATCAATTTTTGGGGCATGTGAGGTTATTGGTATCGTCTAAAAGCTTATTCATTTGTCTTGCTTTCAAACAAAAAAATACCCATCTTTCTTGAATAGAAGTTGAGATATTTGCAATTTAAATAGGTGGCATCGCCTGGCCTGGTTTCATTTCATCGGTAAGATAAGAAAGTGGATGCCAAAGTTTAGTAACTTCAGTAGCTTGAGAGTCCTTGAAAACTGAAAAAATTAAATTCAAGAATATCATTTACAGATCGTATTTGTCAAATATACGTGTCAAATTTTATTGAGATTGAAGTAAATGAAATGAGCTTTTCTTGCACCAATAAGATATATATATATGAATTATTTACACTAACAGTTTGGGGATACCATAATGTTACAAAATTCTTATTTTATTTATATGGGGTTTTTTTGTTTTGTTTTTTATTATAAACTAGATCTATATTGACTTTGTTCTAATATCGGTTTTTTGTGTTTCAGAAAAAACCTAAAGATATTGCTCACTTAGTGAGGAGAAAGGTATGTCTTTCTAAAATTTCTTGTAATGTTACAGTGGTCTACGCCTAAGGTCCTACCCATCCACCATCTATCACCTTGGTTTGCCTTTCCCGCTTTTTTTTACAAAATATGATTATCAGTATGGTTTTCCAAAAGAAACCCAATCCCCATTTATTGACATGTAATGTGGGACAGTACTCAAAGATGTAATCTTACTAACATACTTCAACAAGCACTTTGTTCCTACTCAGATGGCCACAATTTTATTTTATTTCTTTGCTTTTGTTGTTTGTTTTTTTTAAACTAAGCCAGGTTTTGTTTACTGCTTTTTCACTCTTTCGAAAACCTGGGATCTTTGGTGGAGACTACTGTATAATGTTTGCCTTGCATGACTAGCAGTCTGAATGATGCATATTGTCAGCCAACGGTTCAAGTGTACTATGCCCAAAATTGTAATTGCAATTTTCTCTGTTGTTGTATTGATTACCTGTGCTGGAGTAATATTTTGTTGAAATTCAAGTTCTAAAAGTTGGAGGGGAGGAAAAGCGCCAAAAAAAAAAAGATATATGAAAGTGCAATGAAGTATGAAACAGTTTTTTCTCTCTCGTGAAAAATGTTGCTTTTTGGGTTTAGTACAGCTGAACAGCTTGCAGATATATTTTCCTGACATGTTTATATTTATACTGCTGGCTGTTTTTGCTCTTGGGGTTTCTTTGTTACTTGCTCAATAGCTGTACTGATGGGTTTTTTTGGGGGGTGCTGTCTTTTCTCTTGGCCAGCCTTGCCAACTGTCCTGAATTTTCTGGGAGTGCCCTGGGTCTGGGTATTTGAGGTCTTTGAGGAAAATGGCCCCACTTGGTGTAGTTTTGTTTGTCGTTGTCTAATCTGATGTTATAATGTTGAGTGTTCCTGTTTGGGTTTTGAAAAAGTTGGCAACCTGCTCTTTGCTAACAGGTCCCCAAATGTACTAGGCTTCAGACTCTTCGGGGGTTAACTTGTGATGGTTCCCTCTGCACCAGTGACACATGATTGAAAAATGACTGCCCAGTTTATGGATCTGACATAGAGGCTCTCTTTTTATTTAATTTCTCAAAACTTTAAAAAATGATGTACGTGCTTTTATGAATTTACCCAGAGTCGCTTGTTGGCCTATATTTGTCCTGTGTATTCTCCCTCTGCCACTTTTTCAGGGCACTAAAGTGCTATTCTTGTATAGTTTTATGCTTCTCTTTAAGGTGTTATATGACAGGATTGTAGTTAATCTGTAATTGCATGCACATATTTTAGAGGAAACCGGAGGATGATGAACCCATCTCAAGTGCTCTTGAATTGAAGAAAATTCGCCAGGAGGAAACAGCTAGCAGCGACGTCAAGCCTGTTACCGAAAACGGTGCCGCAAGCACAGAGGAGATAAATACACATACTCCCTCAGAAGAAAAGGTATGCTGTTCAAGATGAAGGGGAAACGATAGTTTGTATTTCTTACATCTGGTTGTAAAACGTTTAGAGAGAACTATAGGGAGCCTTTGTCACTGTTTTCCTCTTGTTCATTTTAAAATAGAAAAAAATGGATCTTCAGACGCGTATAAACAACCACTTCCAAGTCCATCTGTCTATTGGACTGTTTCTTTTCTCCTCAACAATGGGTGGCTGTGATGGACAATTTTGACGTTTTTACCTGAACTATAAGTATAAGAAGAGATGTCTGGTGGGGGGTTACTACAAGTGGAGGTATAGAACCTAATTAACTTACTTCTCTTTATTCAGCCAAGGCCTTTAGTGTGAACGTCGTTGCCTGTTGGTTTGAGGGGAGCAGGGGACTTATATTACGCATGCGCTTGCTGGCTTCTATCATCCCCATCTATGCTTGAATTTTTCTTTCCAACATGTTTCCTCATGACATCCGTTTTTGTCAGGACATGCTGTTGTTGGGGTTTTTTCCCCTTGTTCTCGCCACCTTCCTTAGTTAGTGGCATGATTGTCAAGATCCCTCAAGGCTGTCTTTTTAACCCTCTAAGTAGATCTAAATCTCATAAACCTTTATACTTTCAGAAAGTAGAATGTAAATAGAAAATGCAGTTCATTTGTGAAGAAGTTGAAATGTTTGGCAACAAGTGATGTTTTTAAAAAAAAAACAACCAATAAGCAGCTCAAATTACGGCAGATTTAATCAGCCGTTGATACTAGGAAAGTGAAATAGGTTTGTATTACTACTGCTAGTACTTACTACGACCACCACTACTAACAATTTCCTGAAACATGAGCCTTTTCTCTCTTGTATGTGTGCACAACCAGGGCAGTGTCCGATGCACTGGGGTGCTGCAAACATTTTCTTTTTTCACCGCTGCATGGGTGGGGTTTGCTTGCCAACTAGCTGATGTCACATACATTCGCACTAAAGATAGAACTGTGAACACACATACACTAACTCACACACTGGAGATAGAACTGTGAACACACATACACTAACACACTCACTGGAGATAGAACTGTGAACACACATACACTAACTCACACTGAAGATAGAACTGTGAGCACACACTAAAGATAGGACAGTGAACAGCTGTATTGCTAACTGCAGGAGACTCTTTTTCTGTGAAAGCTTGTGTAGCACACAAACACTATAATAATTTCCCCAACCTGTTTCATCTATTTTTTCTGTTTCGTATCAACCTATGATCTAGCCATGCAAAACATTCAACACCACACATTTTTAAAGCGAATATCCATTTTGTGTATCTAATTCTATCATTTAACTTAACTTGTCTAGGTTGTTTGATAACAAAAAAATTGACACCTTCCCCCTCCCCCTTCTCCCCACGCACACACACACTTTTTGCGGGTTGTTTGGGGGGGGGGGGGGGGGGGGGGGGGGGTGGGCACTGGTAGTTTCTACTTCTGTACCGTCTTTTGTTTCTGTCTGTTTTGCTCTTTCCCAACACTAAATGAGTTATGAGATATTTTGTTGGTCCACTTCTCTTTCCTCCAAACTTCCTCCCTTCACATACTATTGTCTATACTGTCTTAGGTATATAGCAGAGGGGCTCTTTTTGTGCTCCCTGGGCATTTTTGGAAAGCATGTTTAATTGTATGGGGTGTGTCTGTCTTATATCTCCCTCTGAATAATCATGATAATTATTAGTAGTAGTATTATACCAGATACCAAGGAATACAAACTGAAACTTTCTTTCCCTGTGTTTTATTTTATCACATTACTAGGAGCTATTCTTGTATGTAATTGCTTTTCACTTTTCTCTTCATTTCAGAAAAAAACAGAGGAGCCCATGACCTCGTGAAAATGTCTGGACCAGACGTGACATGACGAATGATTGAAAGTATTTACTGTTACCGTACACAACTGCCACTCTATGACCTCTCACTAGCCCTTTTTTCATACGGGGTGAAATTCTGAGAAGTTTCAGCATTCTTATTTTGATAACGTTTGTCGTAACATCTTTTTGATCATTGTACTTGAGTTTAATTTTTTGCCCTCTCTCCATGTATGGAATTTATGCGTGATTCAGTGCATACAGTACTTTGCGCACATGTTCATGCCTTATCTTCCTCTTGTAAATTGGAAATGATTATATTTGTTCGTGATATTGATGAATAGATTCAAGTAAAAAGAATTTGGTCTTGTGTTGCTTATTCAGAGTAGTTTTGTTGTTGTTGTTGTAGGAAGGGCTTGTTTTGTTGCTGCCTTATGGTTCTATCTGCCTGTTTCAATCATTTTGAGTGGGTGATTGGCAGGTGCTCTGGTGTGGTTTGCTCCTTCTTTCCTATCAAATGTTTATCATCATCATCATCTTCCCTTCTTCTTTTTTATGTTTGTTACTCTCTTGTAACACCTCTAATCTTCTGGCACTCATATGACCTTATGCAGTAGCGAGCGCCGTAAAACCTCTACTAAAACTATCTAATCTTCAGCACTTATAGGCCGAGATGACCTTATACTTATTGTGTTGATGCAAGTGCCGTAACACACTAAAACAAACATCAATCATTTTGAAAATGATTTGTATAGCTCTGCTCTAAGCTGGCAAAATACCTTTTTTCATATTGGCGCCAAAATGTTTTATTTGCTAAAACCTCTTTTTCTCAAAACTGCTGTGGAGGAAAAAAGGCATTGTCAGCTTACGGCACGGCACAGCTGTTCACAAATGAGTCCCCAACAAACATAGTTAGGTACCTTGAGCAGCTTTTGCTGGTTGCTTGGGCAAAGGTTACAATGAAATATATAGGTTTTATTGCTGTATGGAAAGATAGAGGGAAGGAAGAGCAGGGAAGGACAGAACAACATACACAGAGATGGACCAACTGTGTGACAAATGATGCAGAGAAAAGTCGAGCTGATCGGGGAGACTTTACAACACGTAGGGGGGGGGCCATGATGGTGGTCAATGTCTGCTTAAGAAGATTAATTAAAGTAATGTAAAAGGAAGAGGCCAGGGAGACCCCAAAAGGGGTCCACCAAGACAGCGAGGTGTAGACTTACTCCGGTGTAAACCTGAAATTTCTTTTCAAAGACTTCTTCCTTTCCTCTACTGTGTGACTTGATGAATGTCCAATGACTAGTTTTTCGTTCAGCTGCTCCGCTCTCTTGCCAATGACTGTTTTGAAGGCAACAAAGTTTTCGAAATACTCTCCCACTCCCACTGACACAACCGGCACCGCCATTTTCTGTCAGTCTGGAGAAGGCGGAAACAATGCAAAGTCAACCGTGAGCAAAGCAAAATATTTCTGGGGTCTCCCTAGCCTCATTGGCTAGAGGCAGCGGTAGACAGTACAGAAGACCCCGTTTGGGGTCCGGCTAGACACTCTCTTGGTAAAATGCCTGTGGCTTTTTTTGTCTATAGTGGTAACTATTCAAGTACCATTGTGCGAAGGTGGTGGACATTTTGTAGCCTATAGTATCAGTATCTGAGAGGCGTTTGCCTCTTTGTCTTTTACTCACCTGCATGACAAGATTTGTGCCCCAGTGTGGTCAACTTTTTCCCCACATTTTCTCTGTTGTTGCTGACCAAGTTTGCTTGTGGGTCGTTGGCGGGTTCTCTGTGTGGTTTGTTCCTTTTCTATCAATAATCTCTATCATCTCTTCTCTCCTTTTATTTGCATGTTACTCTCAAGTTTCAGCACTAACTCTATGATCTTCAGCAATTTATATTTAATTTGTGTATTTCAAGCAGATCTACTGAAAAACTTGAACTAAAACAAAAACATAATCTGTTTCTTGGAGAAATGTGGCCGTTGTGGTGCAGAAACTCTTGGCTTGGTGAATTTGACTGTAAATTTTGTTTGATGTTGAAAAGACTTAAGCATTGGAACAGGCGTCTGTGGTGAAGCGGTCAGTTGGTTTGCTGTCGCACACAGGAGGCCCCAGTTCGATTTCCAATAGAGGGAGAATTTTGATTACCTCGAGTCTTTCTGCTAGGATGTATCCCTCTCAGCTTGGGTGGCCCTGATGGGCAAGGTTGGAAGCCCACCTCCTAAATTATCTAAATTTTGTTGATGGGGACGTAAAAACATTTTAGAAATGTTAAGCACCATTTTGTGGTGCACCAGGTAACGGTCAGGTGCTTCACGTGGGTGGTTGGCGGGTGCTCTAGTGTGGTTTGCTCCTTCTTTCCCATCTATCATTACTAATATCCCCTCCTTTTTTGTATTTATTACTCTCTTGTAACACCTCTAATCTTCGGCACTTAGATCTATATTATAACCTTATTGTGTTGCAAATGCCGTAATACTCTTACTAAAAACTAATTGCTTCTCTCACTGTCACAAGCAGGAGACCAGGGTGGGTAGGAATTTGTCGCGGTCTTTCTCAACTTTCTGGGATATTGTGTATTCGCCCAGCCCTGACAGGCAAGGTAAGAAGCCGGCCTCCTAAATGATCCAGATATTATCATAATTATGTCAATGGGGCCTAAAAACTACCGTCCCTACATAATTTATAGAATTTAATGGTTGTGGGGAGTGGGTTTGCAAGATGAGAAAGAGCACACCCGTTCATATTTATTATTTCATCAGCGTTTTCCAGTCACCCAAATCTATTCCTGGAAGGTTGCGTGTATATTGCACGTGTACTAATACTATGAATAGTAATAGTATGATAATACAGTCGATGGATATGTCCTGTGCGCTGAACCATGCGTTCGCACCAAATACTCGGACTCAGACGAACAACAGTAGTTCGAACAACAGCCAGTGAGGTGTTCACACTAGCACTCGTACGGGTGACTGTCGTTAGAACTACAGACTTCAACAAAAGTTAAGGACCACTTTGACAGACAGTTCTAATTTTTTTTAATATTCGAAAAAAGACAGCAAGAAATGTTGGCTCTGGAAGTGTTAATGGGTTACCAAAGCGTACTGGTACTGCAAAGCCTCCTAAGGGACCAAAACCACCACGTGAGCGCGGAAATCCTCGGAGAACTTTAGCCAAATTTGCTGTTTTTTATCGACTTGTGTCTGTGTGCGACACCAAGGACTCTCCTCAGTTAAAATTTCTGGTGCACGTCATAAACGGACGTACGGTCTCGACCCAGTATAAGCCACCGTTTGCGCAAAATCTGGCATCGCATCAACATACCACTAAGACGAAAGCTGAGAGACTTTGATCGTGCCAGAGCTATGGCATGGCTGGAGGATGGAGTTGGAGCCCGAGAAGTTGCCAGAAGGCTCGCAGTGTCACACTCTGTCATTGTCCCCTTGAGGCAGCGCCATCACGCCACTGGATCAGTCCAAGAAAGCCCACGTGCAGGTCGACCCAAGAAGACCACTCAGTGTTTGCAAGTGGTCCCTAACTTTTGTTGAAGTCTGTAGAACAACATTCTAGTTCTAGCGACAACCAGATAAAGTGTAGATGGCCGTGAAGATCTTCAAAAACAAACACGGTAGCCAAAACAAGAGTGCTAGTTTTGCTGTGGGTAAAAGTAAAACAACTTAGATCTACAGAATGAAAAAAGAGGACAAGGAGGTTCCCGTTTTCTACGATCGAGAGGTATTTGGTAAATATCACCATCTTATCCCGCATTTACTGGAAAACGAAAAGAAATGTGCATAAAGTCTATTTCAAGAAAGACTTGTAATAACGACAAGGTAAAATTATTTTCTTTAATAAGAACTTTTTTTAATGTAACTTATTGTAGGCCTACTTACAAGTATTTTGTATGCAAGCGGGGGGAGGGGGGTGAGAGGGGTGAGAGATAAGAGGAAAAAGAGATGTAATTCCAATCTAGTAGTAGGCTACATGTAGTTAAAAAAAAATACTGGTTTTACATTCTTTGTCCTCGACGTTCATGAGGTTCACGTCAGTAGCAGTCATCTTGTGAGGTGTTGAAGATTTAATTTAGAGTACAGCTGTAGGGCCTATCTGCTGGGCCTTTCGTCCTGAGCTTATAACAGTCTTGTGCTCAGACATGTGGGTTATGAAGAAAGGCATAGAGCTAGCTGCTGGCCCCATCACTTTTGGCCTCTTCTACATCCCGTGTCATGTTTGTAGTTGTAGCCCTCACTGTAATACATGTACATGTGTAATAGTCCACTGTAAATGTAATACACGTGCAATAGTCAAACCTCGTTGTACCGCCAGCCCCGTTGTATCACCAAATTTATGGTCGTCCCAATGTAGGCGGTATAACGGGTTTGACTGTGATGTAGGCCCACTGGGTCCTTGCTCTTTTTAAATGCTTAGAAAAACAGCGTTCATTTCTCCTTGGAGTTCTAGTTTCTGATTGCCACTCTGCGGTTTCATTCTAGGCACTAGATTTAAAAAAAAATGGATTACAGCCTTCATCGAATGACATACTGTATTGCTCAAGCCAAAATCTACAAGTGTGTCCTAGCATGGTTTGCTTCGTTCTTCTGTCTTCCACCCACCGGCTCTCTGTCTCCTTCCAACCCCTTTACTTTTCCCAGCTAAGAGAGAGAGAGAGAGAGAGAGAGAGAGAGAGAGAGAGAGAGAGAGAGAGAGAGAGAGAGAGAGAGAGAGAGACGCAACATAACATGAATTACATGTAGGCCTATTAGAAAGCGTCAAATCAAGTACGCTAACTAGACAGGTCTATGAAATATACTGGCGGTCATTAAAAATCCACCATTTTGGATTGAGCACATTTTCCACCAAAATTTATCCAGTGACATCAATTGAGGTTGACAAAAGTTCACAGACAACAGAGGTTACCGATCACATAAAATTTGAAGTTCCCAGTTCAAAACTGTCAATGCGCGCGCAACACGCAAAAATCCGATGTGTCGACCTGAAACCTAAACTTTGTTTATCGAGAGATTTTTTTGGCTGTTAGGGAGAGATTAGATTCAGCCATAACAAAAACTGACATTCTTTACTCTGTGCGACAGATTTTTTCTGCGCAAAATAATGCCGCGACTTTCCATGCAAGAACGTGAAAGGGCCATTGGAATGCTCCAAGCCGGAATGGCAGCATGGCAAGTTGACAGGCACATGAGCTGTAGCCACTCGACTGTTATCCGGTTGTCTCAACGAAATGCAGCTACTGGATCTACAGCAGATCGGCGACGGAGCGGCCAACCCCGAGTTACAACACCAGCGCAAGACCACTACATTCGCCAACGTCACCTTCGAGACCGTTTCCTGCCTACACCGGAAATAGGTCGTCAAGTGGTTGGTCGGCGTGGACCAGGATCTGAATGGAGCGTGCGACGCCGTTTGCGGGAAGCAGGACTTGCAGCCAGACGCCAGTACGTTGGTTCTGTCCTGACACAGGGGCACCGTCAACAACGTTTGCAGTGGGCCAGGCAGCATTTACAGTTGACACGTCGCTAGTGGAGGACTGTAGTCTTTTCTGACGAGAATCAGTTTGCCCTTTCGCATGCTGACGGGAGAAAAAGAGTCTGGAGACGCCCCGGCGAGCACTACGCCAACTGTTACATGCTGGAGGTCGATAGATGGGGAGGAGGCAGCGTCATGGTATGGGGAGCGTTCAGCCACAATTATCGCACACCACTGTACTTCTTCGACCAGCCTGTGAATGCCAACACGTACCAGTAGGTTCTGCAGAACCACGTCGTCCGCTATTTGGTCAACACCCAGAGCTGCAGTTATGCCTACACGACAACGCCCGCCCGCACACCGCTCGAGCCACCACTGCTTTTCTGCAGGCAAACAACATTGATGTCCTGCCTTGGCCATCACTGTCTCCTGACATGGTGCCAATTGAGCATGTGTGGGACGGCTTGGCCGCCGTTTGTCGCGTGGAAGACCTCTACACAATCTCCGAGAGCTGAGGTGTTCTTTGACAAATGAGTGGGTACAGATTCCACAGGTGTTCTTTCAGACTCTGGTCAATTCCAGAAGAAGGCGCTGCCAATCCTGTATTCAGGCCAATGGAGGACATACACGATACTAAGGGAGGTGTTAAAAACTCAATTTACTGCTCTGATTTTGGAAAAAAGGACTTTTTGTTACTCCTTGCTTTTGTGGTCGCGGTGCCATATTTGACCTTTTCATTTCATTGCAGCTGTGAATATTCACACAATTACCATAGAATGCTATGGTATACAATCTGTTAGAAAAAAACTCCAACAAAACACATTACCATTATTTGAATTGTTTTGTAAGTGGTGCGTTTTTAATGACTGTCAGTATATAGATCTACACAAGGTGGATGGCGCAGCGGGCCAAGTGCCGTCCAGATTATCTAGCCCTCAACGTTAGGTTATATTTTCTATTTTATATACGACATGTGTAAAGGTGCTTTAACGCTCTAATCAACATAAATTGATTATTTAATTATTTAGGAGACGCACTTCCGACCCTGCCTGCCATTGGCAGGGCCAACCCGGACCGAGAGGGATGCAACATCCCAACAACAACCCCCCCCCCTCAAGAATTGTACTCCCTGCTGAAAATTATTCCCATTTAGGAATCGAACTCAGGCCTCCAGGGTGTTATAACAGTGAAGCACCTACCACAGATGCCGCAAGGATTACCTGAAATAGGTGGATTAAGAAAATAACTGCTAAAAAGAAAAAAAATGGGACAAATACGATCAGTTTTGAGGGGACTTTTTTCCACCGAAGCAACAGCTATTGTTATGTTAGATTACTAAGATTGAATCTGTTTTAAGTATTTTTCGATAAAACAGGCGGTATTCAACAAATCAAGGAAGCCCTGTTTGTCTTAATATAACATAACATCGAACAGAATATGAAAGAGTATTAGCAGGAAAGGATAAATAGACTCCAAAAAAGTTTTTTTTTTTTTTAAAGTGGCATGGTGAGGTGGATTTGGGGAGAATTTCTACACTTGATTCACTTTGTCATCAGGTCAGTATGGACAAAACAGGGTAGGTTCCCCCCCACAAAAAACAAGAAGTATAAAATGTCACCGTCTTGGGCAAAAAACAGAAGCGGTATTGTTTTTTAAAACCAGAGATTGCTAATCGCCATACATGACTCTACTAAAGTAGGGGGAAACAATAAACACCCTCGCGGTCTCTCTATTACTTTTGTTCAATTTGTTTCATATTACAGATCTAGACAGAACAAAGGCGTGACAGTTTTTAGCAATTTGCCAACTTCAACCGAAGGGAAGTAACTCTGAACGTTTGTTATTTAAAAAATATGAATTCCATTATCTACTTTGGCGAAATACGAAAGCACGTCAACAAAACTCAAAACCACATGGAGGAAAGTTATCACTTGTAGATCATTTATTTCAAATCAGTGCAGTTTATTTTCTATTACGCCGGTAAGTTACGTATACTCTAAACCTGTTTGCCCATTGATAATTTAAATAAGACTGTCCTCCAGATCAAATTTCATTCTCTTGTTCCCGCACACTAAGAAGCGGCGTTAGGTTGGGATCAGTGCAATCGATTGCTTGTTGTTGGTATTGAAAATGGTCATCGTTCAGACTTCCATTTGTAGCCTAAATGTTGACACAATAACAACAACATAATAAGAATAATAATAATAGTTCGTCCGCTAATGAACGATACTATGGCTGATGAGACCAATTCAAATTCTGGCAGAGAAAAGTTTGCCACACGATTTTCATGTTGAATTTGAGCATTCAAAGACTTTAAACTCAACTTCCACTTCCCACTTATCCAGGATGTGCCAAACTTGCAGGCCTCTCTCTTGGTTTTAGCATTTCTTATTTGTGAAGCCGAGGATCATTTGCTGCAAAACACTGAGTGCTGCTTTCCAACTGGGTATGTCACATGTCAGGAGCAAGGCCCCCCGTTAAAAGATGTTTTAAAAGGCTACTGTTTTTCTGTGTCGACAAAATTAAAATAGATTCTACATGTGTTTATTTACAGAACTGCTTTCTTATCAAGTCTTCTGCATTTTGAAATTAGAAATCTACACGATTCTAAGCAAAGGGAGTCTCAGAATACATGGAGCTACTAGATCTAGAGCTCCTAGCACACCTCTGTGATTGGCCCTAACCTAATATACTATATAATCTAGATGACGTATTTTCACCATCTATTTTTGTTGTCTTCCGGGGTTTCCCTCTCGAGTTGACTAGAAAACTAAATGTAAATACCTATCTTTGCCGTGTGTGTTGTTCCTTTGTTCATATGCTTGTGTTTTTGTTTGTGTGTATAATGTGCATGTATGTTCGTCTGTGTGTGCTTGAGAATATATAATGAATATATTGAGAGTGTCTGGAATGGCTGAGAAATCCAAAATGTATTCCAATTGTATATTTATTATTATTCAAAATGGCAATAAAGAGTATTATTATGATGATAAAAGATTATAAAGGGTGATTGTGACAGATCTAGTCAACTCACTAGGGAAACCTCGGAAGACGACAAAAATAGATACGTCATCTATATTTGGGCCAATCACAAAGGTGTGCTACGTTCTCTTGTTAGCTTTATATCCTCAGAATTCCCTTTCATTACTGATGGAATCAAATCTGTGTCTACTTTGTCAATCATTGAATTGATGTTCGTCTGTCTTTTTTTGCAGACGGCAGGTGTCTGCCAGCGTTGACCATGACTTCTTTAGCAGCTCAGCTGAAGAAACTTGCCATCCCAGAGACCCAAGGCGTCCTCAGTTCTGGGCTGCAACAAGCGTCGTTCTTGTATGCTCAAGGGGAGGCTGCTACTTATGACAAACAACATTTCTACAATATCGGTAAGCTGCAACTTGTGTTACTTCAGCCTCTTCACTGCTGTATAGACATATTTGTCTCTTTTATAATCTGACTCCTAGCCTGTTCTCTGCCACTGTACCTTACAATTTGTTCAGAGTGGCTTGGACTGACTTGTAGTTTTTACTTTGGAAAAATATATATATATGTATATTATTACGAAGACTTTATTCCCTCCCCCCCCCCCCCCCCGCCCATAAAAATTGCATAAATTTGCCATTTTTTTCTCTCTAGGTATAAATGGGTTACAGCAACTGATTGAAAAAGATGCATGTTTTGAGGAGTTTGAGCAAAACTTGTTTGCCCCGTCGTCGCAGTCTCTGCAGCGCTACATTCAGACGTCGGAGGTGAACAAACAGCTGGACCAAAACATCTCCAGGTTCCTGCTGCAGCTGTCCCCGTACATGCAGCTACGGGAGTCACACAAGGCCATGGAGTGGTTGGTGCACAGGTGAGGCGGGTATGGCTAGATACAGGTTGGGATTTGTTCTAGGGTCTTGTACAGTCGAAATTGTCCTAGCCCGCCACCCGTGGTAGAAGACAAAAGTAGCTGTCTTACACAGTGCCATTAGAATGTAAAAATGACCTGAGGGGTGATATGAGAAGTGGCCGTTTGTACAGGTGATTGTCTTGAACATGACCGTTGGAGCAGCTTTGGCTGTACCTGTCACCTCACCAAAGTGACAGTTTTTATCTAAGTAAAATGTGAATTACAGTCGAATCTGCCTCAGTAGTCGCCTGTCTCTGACACCCTTGTGTTTTTCCTATGTCCTATTTTTTTAATCTATCCATAGTGGACATGGTCAGTCATTTTCACAATATTTAGCCTTTAAACTTGATCAGAGCTTTTACTGGCTACACAAGTTTTCTGCCAACCCATCCTCTGACCGAATGTGTATTTTTTATCAACGCAAGGAAGCGGCTGGGATTATTGCCTGGCTAGGTACTACTGACTAAGCAAGAGGGGAAGGACAAATTAGAATTCTTACTCAATGAAAAACTAGTTTTAGATTATTCTGCTTTTCGTTTTCGCGTGTTTTGAGGCGATAATTGAAGGAAATTGTTTTTATTTCATTGTTAATGTTTCTTTTCAGATATAATATACATCTGCGTAATGTGGATGCCTTAATGATGTGTGTGCTGCCATATCATGACCAAGACCCGTTCATGAGAGCACTGCGGCTGCTGAATATGAGCAGCAAAGAATGCGCTATGTGGCGCTGGTTGGAGCCCATCAAGGTAATGAACTTCTCGCAAATTTTGTTACTTTCAAATGATTTTTTTCTTTCTTGAATATAGGTCCTGTCAGCACAATTTAGATCATTTAGGAAGCAAGCTTTTGACCCTGCTTGTCAGGTTCAACCTGGGCTGAGTGGGATATAACATTCCAGAAGAAAGACTGAGATACTCCGTTCAGATTTCTCCCCACTCAGGAATGGAACTCGTGTCTCCTGCGTGCGACAGGGAAGTACCTAATTGACCCTTCCACGCTCTGGAACTGAAGAATAGGTCTTATGTTTACTGAAGCGCATGTTACAAGGAACTCACATATTCTTTCTGTCTTGAGAAAAATAAGTTAACTTAATTTTTTTTGCTTCTCGCTGTAAAAGGCCGGGTCAGAGGGAGTTATTCATTTTTCTTGGAACAATGATGATATATAGACCTGCATGTTTGCCGACAATCGTCTGAAATCCGACAATCGCGACCCGACCCGCGAACCGGCCGATGCTATCGCTAGGCCCGCCTGTATCAGTCAATGTGCGTAGTGCGAGGCCTGGTCGACTGCCAGCGACCCCTTTTTCTCCCGTCGGCTTCGTCGGCACTTTCGTTTTCGTGCCGACCGCCGACGCGCGCACCTCCGACTGCCGACGTCGGCGTTTCCGACATAATTGTCGGAACCTAAGTAGAAATGCGAATACGAAAAAGGACTACAACTTAAATTATCTACTTTCAGTTTCGTGCTCGAGCGGCCATTTTGAATTTCGTTTGTTGACTAATTCAATTGTTCAGATCGTGTGGATTCATTCAAGTCCGACTCTCTTGTTCTAATAGAATCTAGATCTAGATCTAGATTTATATAGATCATTATAGACCTCAATGGAGGATTCATATTCCAATTCTATTGTGTCAAACCCTTTCATAGGTTGTGCTGTAATATTAGTATTGGTAAAAATAAGCATTTCATCAGGTGCGTGAATTGGATTATTTATTTAGATCTAGATAAAGATCTAGAAATCTAGATCTAGATCTAGAATCTAGACTCAGCTGAGTCCCTCTGTTCGGAATCGGATGCGGATTTCTAGTTCAAGGCATATTCCTGTTCACTTGTTCTACAAGATGTAGATCTAGATCTAGATTTATTTAGATTACTGGATCTATATGGAGTATTCATATTCCAATTCTATTGTGTTATTGTATCAAACCCAAAAGCAATGTTGATGTAAGCCATATAGATCTAGATATAGAATCTAGATCTAGATCTATATGCTCCTTGTCTGTTTTGGAGTGTGGTTTTTTAATTAAAATTTTTTTTTTCATTTAGGACTTGTTTTGGAATTTTTTACATGAGGCCCGTTGCAGGTTCTTTTTGGGGGTAGGGTTAGGGTTAGGTCTCTTCATTATTGTGTTTGTTGGGGTGGTCGCTCGTTACTCGGATAGTCCTTCCTTATGACACCCACAAAGGCTTTTGGGGGGGGGGTGCGCAAAATTTTCAGACTATCTGGTTGAGGCTCACATGCAGGTCTAGATATACATATTACTGTTACTGATTTTTGAATGTGTAAACTTTACAGTAGAAGATGATCCAGCAACTCTGAGCAACTGTTTATGTGTTTTATTTATTTTTTGTTGTAAATTTGTGTTTGTCTTTGTCTTCAGAAAGGAGAGTCGTTTTTGCCACGTCAGACCTTGGTGACTCACTGCCGATCTGCCAAAGGTTTCCTGGGCTTCATCTGTGACATGTTGGCCAAGCACATCGAGGTGAGGTCATGTTTCCTGCGGTTTCTGGTAAAATCATGTTACTGTGGTTTCTGGTATAATCATGTTACTGTGATTTCTGGTAAAATCATGTTACTGTGGTTTCTGGTAAAATCATGTTACTGTTGTTTCTGGTAAACCATGTTTCTGTTGTTTCTGATAAAGTCATGTTATCATTGTTTCTGATAAAATCATGTTACTGTGATTTCTTGTAAAATCATGTTCCTGATGTTTCTGGTAAACCATATTTAGTCACAATTGTTTCTCTTAAAAGGGTATTACTGTTGTTTCTCGTACAATGAGTTGTCTTCCTCACGGTAAATATTCTCTTTAACTGTTTAACAGCAGAGGACTAGAAATGTTGACAGTAGCTTATCACAGCTTTCGGTTATAGAAAACGGTAATGCTGATGCTGTATTGTATTGTGTCTGTCGCTGCCCCCAGGCTAACACGGACGACTCGGGCGTCCCGTCCAGGCGACGTCTGCAGCGAGTGATCAGCTTCTACACACAGACGGTCCTGGGCGTGCTCATGGCGGGGCCTCCCACTGAGCACATCCTATCCACGCTCATCCCGTCCATCGGTGCCGGGCTGCGGTCACGTGACATGCCGGATCACATGACCTCGGCATATATGGTCCTCAGTCAGCTGCTGGTGCAGACAACTCTGGAGTCCTCGCTGTTAGAGTCACTGCTCAATGTCTTGTGCAAGGTGAGTTGGTTCAGCTGTTAGTTGGTTGATTTAGTTTCAGTTTTAGTAAAAGTTTTTTGGCACCTACAACACAAATAGGCTATTAAGGTGCAGAGGATTAGGCGTGTTACAAGAGAATAACATACAAAGAAAAGGAGGAGGGATAAAGATGATAGATGTTTGATTGGAAAGAAGGAGCGAACCACACCAGAGCATTGGCCAACTACCCACTTGGTTGACTTGATGAGACCCAGTTTGAACTATATTCTGAGATACCACACTTATAACGAATGGTAAAGCGCATAGACCCTACTTTCTAGAGGAATATATGCTTTGTGAATGTAACTATGCTGCCTTTCATTGTCTTTGTTATTATTCTGGATGATATAGTTTTAACAACATTCATATTTTAAAAAATATTTACGCAAAGATGCGGTTCTTGGATTAAGTATTTTGATGTTGTTCAGGAGCGAATAACAGCTGTTTTCCACAGGTTCTTTCAAAGGCTGAGCTTCTCATATATCTTTTTGAAAATTGGTGCCTCTTGTGCATTTGGTTCCTGGTCGTTTTTCACACTATTTCTTCACCCTACCTCTGATGTGTCCTAAGAGCTGTCACATCTTCACTCAGAATCATGCCTGGAGACTACCCATATTTTTTGTCTGATAGAAGTGGTCTGCTGTTTTTGCTATCGGCAACTCTGGTTTAGTGATTAGGCGTCGGAAATACTTTATACAACGACAAAACACAGCTGATAAAAACCTGTAAATTCTTTACCATATCGACAGGCCGAATGGCTAGAACTCAAATGGCCGCTGGATCGAAAAAGTAAAGTAAGTAAAGTGTAGTGATTAGGCTCTTTGCTAACACTGGCAGAAGACATGAGTTCACTTTCTACCTTGGGAAGATAATTTTTGAGTACTTCTGTCTATCTGCTGGGATGTTGTATCGTATGTCACTCAGTTAAGGTTTGACCCCACGGGCAGGATTGATGCAGCTTGACCCTTCAAAGGTCTATATTGTTTCAAAGTATGGGTAAACATTTTTTGCTCTCAAATTAGTTTCTGTAATGCGTTGAAATGTTTTTGTTTATTTTTCTCTTCAGAACATCCAGCCAAGCCTGGTTCATGCTGCGGTCACTGTCGTGGTCCTCATTTTCCAGAGGCAGGCCATCAACAAAGTCTCCAAAAAGTAGGTCACAGTTCGTCTTCTCTTCATGTCTTTGCTACCATTTAGATTAAATAGATCATGTATGCATTCCTCTTTTTTGTCCGTCTGAAAAGGGAAAACATGACATTTCGTCAGTGCCACAAGAAAAATGAGTACAGTCAGACCTTTTCTAACAGCCATCTGTCCAAGACAATCACCCATACAAACGTCCCCCCCCATGTTTTTTGCTGCATTATAATGACACCGCCCAAGACATCCACCTGTTTAAGACTATCTTTTTTCTCCTTAATAACAGGTGGCTGTCTTGGACAATTGCAGTGGTTGGTTGGCAGGTGCTTGGTGTGGTTTGCTCCTTCTTTCCTATCAAACATCTATCGTCTTTATCTCCCCTCCTTCTTTTTTGTGTTTGTTACCCCCTTGTAACATCTCTAATCTTCGGCTTTTATATGACCTAATTGTGTAAAACTCTACGCAAAAAAAAGGACAATTGCAACAGCATCTCCGTGTGACCCTGATTTACAATATGAGTCATAGCAATATTGGCGTTGCTCATTTTTCTTACTGCAGCGACAAAACATTATGTTCTGCTAGTGTTGACAACACGTTTCTATTTTTAAATCTCGGCAGAGCCTTCAGGTACCTGACCCGACAGTCCGCTCTTCTCCCCACTCTGTCGCAGCTGAGCCGCGAGGCGAACGCGGAGCCGTTCCTGACGCCGTTTATGTCGATGCTGACGCAGCGAGCGCTGAAGGAAAGTGACGACGGTGGCGGTGTGACGAGTGACAGTAACACGGAGGATGACGACGCCACGCCACCGTCACTGCTGTCACTGCTTCTGGACGCCATGAACTCTGTTAAGCTGAAGGAGAAGACAATCATTGTTGTCGTGAGGTGAGCTGCCTGATGCTGCGAAATGGGAAACTTTTCAGCCATCTTTGCTAATAAATTCTCTTTTTTATTTTTTGGCTGCCATGAACTGTGACACTTTTCAGCTGTCTTTGTTAATAAATTCTCTTTTTTATTTATTGGCTGCCGTGAACTGTGAAACTTTTCATCAGCCGTCTTTGCTAATATATTCTCTTTTCTAAGGTAATGGTTATCTTTCTTTTCTTTTGGATTTCATAAATGTAAAAGTAAAAGTAATTAAATATCCCCTTTGCTAGAGTCCTTCCATTGCTGTTTGGATGTATGTCGTCTTTCCACCTGGATTAGGAAAAAAAATAGAGGCCCGTTGCAGTTCATATTTGCTGCGATGCCCAGTTCCAGTGTACAGATTTATTGTTTTCTACGTCATGTTGTGCTCTGCGAATGTGTCTATGTCATAGTTGATAAATTCCCATCAGGAAAGATTTTGTATTCTTTATTCTTGGGTTTTTTTTAAATTTTCATTGGGATAGATTTTTATTTTTTAAATTCTTGTTTTAAAAAAATGTTCTTGTTTGTTTTTGTTTTTACAAAGATTGATGTCCGGAATGGCAATTTTTCTCTGAAATCTTTTTTAGGAGTGTCTTGGACTGGTTCTCCAAACAGCGGAAGGAATCGGAGATGGAAGTGGATGGCGAGTTGTCTCCCTCAGAGGGCGCGTTTAGAGTGTTCAGGCTACTTGAGAACAGGTACTGAGACTTGGGTCAAGGGGTTGGGGGGGAGGGCATTCTGGGGACAGTCTCGTCGGGTTGTCTAAACCAGCGTGTGTGGTGTTTGGTGTAGCGGTTAGTCCCTTCGTTAATGCATGCTGGAGACCTGAGTTTGATTCCCTTGTAGGGAGAATTTTTATCAAGTATCTCGATCTTTCTGCTGCTGGGATATTGTATCCTCTCTCAGTGGGGGTTGCGAGTGACAGGGTCGGAAGCCCACCTTTTGGATGATGTGAATCGTGTCTTATACATTCAAACTTGTCTATTGACCACCCGTTGTGGACGAAGAGCATGGGTGGTTGGTGGATGCTCTGGTGCGGTTTGGTCCTTCTTTCCTATCAAACAACTATCATCCTTCTTTTTTATGTTTTTTACTCTCTTGCAATACCTCTAATCTTTGGCACCTATATGACCTTATTGTGTTGCAAGTGCCTTAAAACTCTTACTAAAAAAAAAGTGGATGAAGAAAGTGGTCCTCTTAGATAGGTGATCTCTGTGGACAGTGTCATTATAATATAGAAAAAAATGCAAGGGAGGGGGGTGGTCATTTGTTTTGTACAGGTGATTGTTAGAGCAGGTTCAGCTGTATCAGGATTGAAATAAAAGAAAATAATTGCAGGAGACCAAGTAACGTCATACCAACTTCAGTTTGTTCATTTTTCTCTGAACAGTGAACAATTCTTACCTAAATTTGTTGATAAAGCAGGACACTTATTATTAAAGTCCATGGCGCTTAGCTGTCTCACGTAGGAGACATGAGTTTGATTTCCGAACGAGGAGAAATTTTTATCAAATACCTCGAGTCTTTCTGTTGAGATGTCGCAACCCTCTCAGCTTGGGTTGGCCCTGACAGGCAGGCAGGGCTGGAAGCCCGCCTCCTTAATGATCAGAATTGTGTTGATGAGGGCATCACCTACATCAAAAAACAAAAAAGGAAAGAAAAAGGTTTGTGGTCTGGTCGTGTTCTTGACCCTGTGTTCATTCTGTTTCCACAGGTTCTCAAGCACCCTGGAGTCTGTGGTGAAAGAGATGACCACTAGCGGCGAGTCCAAGGGCATCGGTCAGACGGTGAAGAAGCTGTACAAGATGTCAGTCCAGTCGGCCCAGGACAGTCTGGAGTCGGACGCTGCCTCGGCCTTGACCGTGTGTCTCCACCACCACAACGAGGCAGTGAGGAAAAGTGCTGTGGAGAGACTGCTGCAGGATGTGCAGCTGGTGAGTGGGGTAGTGTGTGTGTGTGGGGGGTCGTGTTTATGTGTGTGTATGAGTGGATCGTGTTTGTGAGAGTGGGTCGTGTTTATGTGTGTGTGGGTGGGTCGTGTTTGTGTGTGTGTGGGTGGGTCGTGTTTGTGTGTGTGTGGGTGGGTCGTGTTTGTGTGAGTGTGTGAGAGTGAGTTGTGTTTGTGTGTGAGTGTGAGAGTGAGTTGTGTGAGTCGTGTTTGTGTGTGTGTGTGAGAGTGAGTTGTGTTTGTGTGTGTGAGAGTGGGTCGTGTGAGAGTCGTGTTTGTGTGTGTGTGAGTGGGGTCTTGTTTGTGTGTGTGTATGTGAGAGTGAGTTGTGTTTGTGTGTGTGTGTGAGAGTGGATCGTGCTTGTGTGTGTTTATGAGTGTGTGGGTTGTGTTTGTGTGAGTGGATCGTGTTTCTGTGTGTATAAATGGGTCGTGTTTGTGTGTGTGTCAGGTCCTGCATTGGTTGTGTTTTGTGTGTGTGGGTCGTGTTTGTGTGTGTGTGTGAGTGGGTGAATTTTGTGAGTGGGTGAGTGAGTCGTATTTGTGTGTGTGTGGGTCCGTCCGTCCATATTTGCATTTGTATGCGTCATATTTGTCATCTCTGTACATACTGCTATGTTTGCTCTCCGTACAAGCAAACTACGTTGATTATTTGTCTTGTGTGCACAGATGGAGGACCGCACAGCCATCCAGTCTATCTTGGTGTCGAGGATACAGGATGATAGTTCAGAGGTCGTGATGGCCGTGTTGGACAAGCCAGAGGTAGGAACGTGTTGTGATGCATGTACACATGTTGGGACGCATGTACAATGCATTTGTGTTTTTTGTGGTGGTTGGGGGGGGGGGGGGAGGGGAGCAGTGCTGGTGAAGAGGAAATGAACCTAGAAATGGACACATATGCATTTCTCCGTTATGTTGAGGGGGATGTGGGAGTTTGGGTTTGAACTCTGGACTGGATACTTACAGGTTTCTCTGTTTTTGGTGAGGGGGTGGGGGGCAGGGGTTTGAATCTAGGTCTGGGCTCTTACACTTGCTTACTTTCATTTTGTTAAGGGGGAGGGTCCACGTAGAGAGAAATTGGTGGGTGGTTGGCGGGTGCTCTGGTGTGGTTTGCTTCTTCTTTCCTATCAGACATCTATCGTCTTTGTCTCCTCTCCTTCTATTTTGTGTTTGTTACTCTCTTGTAACACCTCTAATCTTTGGCACTTATATGACCTTATTGTGTTGCAAGTGCCGTAAAACTCTTACTAAAACTAAACATAGAGGGAAATGAAGCAAGGACCGGACACTTATCTCAGCCGTGTTCTGTTTTGTCCCCAGACGCTGTGGGAGCTGTTTGAGGACAAGAAACTGCTGGAGAAGACGCTGTGCCAGAAACTTCTCTCGCTCAAGGGCAAGGCCAAAGGGTAAGACAGGGAAGGGGGCTCCACTCACACTTGTTCTCAGCTGCATGTCAAAGGAAGCTTGAGATATTTGGGAAGTTTGTTGCTGCATTTGTGGCTTTTAAATCTTTACAAGGAATGAGAGATAAATGACTGGAGGTTCTTTGTTTCACACCACTGTGATTCGCTTTCCTTACGTGGATTTCGTCATTGTTGCCCCCCCCCCCCCCCCCAAAAAAATGAATTGCTTCCAATATTTTGTACTTGACGTGTAAAGCTTTTATTTCATGTGTAAGCACAGGTGAAACCTGGCTTTTCATTTGTCCTGTTAACAGTGATGATTTGTACTTTTATTATTAAGTGCAGCAGGGGTTGGTTTGACATAGGGAGTGGGTGGTTGAGAAGATGCAGGAGACTTGAGTTTGATTCCAGAGTGGGGAGAATTTTTATTGAGTATATCAGTCTTTCTGCTGGGATGTTGTCTCACTCTCAGCCTGGATTGGCCCTGACTGGTATGGTCGGAAACCCGCCTCCTAAATGATCTGCATGCGTAAATCGTGAAAACTCTTACATTAATAAGAAATGTTTTGTTCCAGGCCCACAACGAGGCTAGTGTTGCGTGCCCTGAGTTGTATCCCCTTTGAAGTTGCCGACGACAGAAAGTTGCTGGCCTTGTTCCTGTCTCACCTGGTGCCCCTGGCTTTGGAGGACGTGACCTTGGCCTCTGAACTTCTGGAGTCATCGTTTGTCTTGTGCAGCAAACTGCTGGAGCATCTCAATAACAGTGAGTACTCTCCCTTTGTCTTGTTGGTCAAACACTGTAGCCGTCTTAGAAAAGGGCGAAAAAATCTCGGAGGTCCTGTTTGCAAGTTGTGCATGTTAAAGATCCCTTGGTGGTCCTAAAATCAATAAGAAAAGGCTACAGCCGCCACCAAGGCAAAATTCAAAATTTATTCCTACCAGACTGAAAATATTTATTGTGTCTCTGGCGCTCATAATATGATCTTATTGAGTTGCGAGCGCCGTAAAACCTCTACTAAATAAAAATAAAAACACTTCTTTTGCTGTGTCAACACTAAGTTTTGCAGTGTGCTATTGTTCTCTCAGTTTTAGTAAGAGTTTTACAGCACTTGCAACATAAGTAGGTCGTATAAGTGGCAGGGAAGAGGTGTTATCAGAGAGTAATATACAAAGAAAAGAAGGAGAAAAGATGAGAATGATAGTTGTTTGAAAGGAAATAAGGAACAAACCACACCAGAGCACCTGCCAACCTCCCACTTACTCCCATGAGACAGGAATATGTCGATATGTTTGAGAATAATGCAGAGTTGTCTCTCTCTCTCTCTCTCTCTACAGAGTTTCTTCCTGTCCTGAAGAAGTTGCCTTCTGGTGGAAAACTGAGCGCGGAAAATCGACAGAATGTGACGGAGAAGCTGGTTGAGTGTGTCGCCTCTTACCTGGCCAACAACAGCAGCCAGGCGGCACAGTTTGTGAGTAGACGTACCAAGGGATGCTGTTTCCACCACCCCCTTTATTTCCATTATTTTCACTATAAGAAAAGTTATTTTCAACATTTGTTTTCTGATTAGCCCGTAATAGTTGTGTCTTATAACTTGTCTTTGTATGTGCAAATGCCATTTCGCAACTTTTCGGGCAATTTCACTTCACAAAATCCTATTGGAATTCCTGCGTTCCCTCATGGTGTTTGTGAGATTGTCGTGGCTTTTTGTACTGGCCAAGCAGAAAGGGAACTGTTGTGTTTTCTTGTTGCCAGGGAGGGGTAAGATATATATTTTTGGAAACACAAAGTTGTTTGATATCAATAACTGTTTATGAAATGTGGTGGTATGGCTGGTATAGTTGAAATTATTTCTCCTTTTTTTGCTGTTGTTACTCCCTAGTAACACTTCTGAGCTTCGATACGTATCATGACCTAATTGTGTTGCAAGTGCAGTAAAACTCTTACTAAAAAGCTAAACCTCAATTGTTTCTCTTGCTCCCACCCAGGTGCAGGATATCTATAACCAGGTGTCGAGCTCACCGCGGCCTGGCAGCGCGGCCCTGGTGTTGATCATGAGTTGCTTCACCCTGGCTCAGCGAGTGAAGAAGGCGGAGATGAAGATGGAGCTGCAGCGAGTGATTGTCTCCCTTGTTGTGGATGTGACGCTTAGCCAGGTATGTGGTCAGGTCGTCTGGCTATTTGGCACAGTTATTGCGTGTTCAGTACTGTCATTTTCTCACATCTTTTTAGATTGTCAGATGTAACGTTATTGTTGCGTCAATGTCTTTTTCCCCAGCTTTTTTTGTTTTTGGGTGTCAATCAATATATTTGTTCCAAAGTTGTTTTTTGTCTGTGTCTTGTTTCCAATTTTTTCCTCTTCTGGTCAATATCTTTTTCCAATTTTTTTGGGGGGGATGATTACCATTCATATTGACTCAGTCGTAAACTTATTCGGTTTAGGGGTGATGGTTGGAGAGTACTATTGATAACTCTAATTATTGTTTCTTTCTGTCTGTCTGTCAGTCATGCTTTTTCTTAGCACATAATGACCTTTATCATGTCGGTGTGCCTGTCTTTAAATGAACCAACTGGCTCAGAAGTATGTTGATGTCATATGTCAAAATTTGAACTGTGTGCAGCTTTTACAGGTGCGCGGTCTGGTGTGGTTTGTTCCTTCTCTCCTATTAAACATCTGTTGTTCTTATCTCTCCTCCATCTTTTTTTTGTATGTTACTCTCTTGTAACACTTTAATCTTCGGCACTTATATGACCTTATTGTGTTGCAAGCGCCGTAAAACACTTACTAAAACGAAAGTAATACCTCTAATCTTCAGCACTATTTTTACCGAACTGTGTTGCAAGTGCCATAAAACTTACTAAAACTTTAAAAATCTTAAACTGTATTTGACCGCCATGACCTTTGACTTTGCAGAATGTGGTCAGTTTCGGCAAGAGTCGATCAGGCCCGGTGATGTCCTCGTGTCTGGACCAGTTGTCGCAGGACGGCAGACTTTCTGTGGAGGTTGTGTCTTACACTCTTCAAGAATTGAACCTTTGCCCTGCGCCTGCCGGCCTCAAAGGTGAGTCAGCCATTGCTGCACACGTATACTTGTTTGTGGGTAGATCTTACCGGCATCTTTGATGTAGCAGTTAGCCGCTTTGCTGTTGCACATAGGAGACTCGAGTTCAATTCTCGAGTGGAGAGTATTTTTATTGAGCATCTCTGTCTTTCTGCTGGGATGTTGTATCCCTCTCAACCTGGGTTGGCCCTGACAGGCAGGGTTGGAGGCTTAGGCTAATGAATTCTTATCTATATCAGTTCATCTGACTGTGTGATGTATATATTTTGCTACTTTAGAATTACAAAGTTCTATCTGATATTTTTGGCCCTAAGGTCAGAAACCAAATGTTCTATCTGCTATATCAAAATTGTTATGGTATTTTGGAGTTGTTAATCAAGATATTCAAAGAATTACATTCGGAAAAGCTTGTCATGTTGTGAGACGGAAAGTTTTTTTGACAAATTTGTCAAAACTAGGTACTGAGCAGGTAGAACTTTGTACCTCTGGGGTAGTGATTTGTTGGACTGTAATGCTGTCGTTTTTCTGCCCTGCAGAAGCTAAGTTCTGGGACCTGTGGGCCGAGGGCAGCCCGGAGAGGAACTGGCTGGTCACTCTCACCTCGCTAACCACTTTCCTGCTTGAGCTGTCGGCCAGCAAGAGTCCGCGAGTCGCCGAAGTGGCCAGGAGTATTTTTCCTTCCGTGTTCAAGGTGAGATGTGCTGCCAGATTGGTCTTTGTCGTGGTGGAAAAAATAGTTGTGGGTCTGTTGTAGTGGACAAGCTGTGTCTTTGGTTGAAAAGTCAAAGTTGCAAACATCTTTTAAATTAGAAAGAACAACCAGACAATAGCATCAGCTATCCAGAAATGAACACTCTCATAAAAAAAGCTGTTTAAAACACCACAGGCATCAGATAACTGCCATGAGCTATCCTGCCAAGAGCAAGTGATTATCTATTTAAATTTGTACAGTCACTAAAATGTCTCTGTGGAGAAGCGGGCCAAATTGTGGAACCGTGGGTGGTTGGTGGGTGCTATGATGTGGTTTGCTCCTTCTTTCCTATCAAACGTCTATCGTCCTGATCTCTCCTCTTTCTTTTTTATGTTTGTTACTCTCTTGTAACACCTCTAATCTTCGGCACTTATATGACCTTATTGTGTTGCAAGTACGGTAAAACTCTTACGAAAAACTAAACTGTGGAACACATCCTCCAGCAGTGCAGGACTTATACAATATCTCAGACAAGAAAAGTGGCCAACTCCATTTACATTAATGGAGAAGCTATACGGGCCAACAGAGGAACTTAACAGGACGACCCAGTATATGATCAATTTTATGTTTACGTGTCCCAGCCCCCCCACTAGCTCTAGTAGTTTTCCATCTGAAAATGGGTACACTGCATTGTCTATGTACTATAACAGAAGATTTTGTCTGTAATTTGCATGCCTCAGGTTCTGGGCGACAACGCGTCAGTGATGAAGTTCCTGTGCTGGATGTGGACGAGCGATGCGAAAAGGGGAGTAACTGGGGCGGACAAGGCTCGCTGTCTGCAGTTCTCTCAAGTGTTTGTCTCAGGGCTGGCGCTGGACGACCGCGTCAAGCTGACCTCTGACCCTGCCCCAAGTAAGGACTGGCTGCTTTCTCTTTTCTTTATTTTGTTTTGATGTATTTTGGTATTATGGTATGTCCTCCTCCCACCCCCAAATGATGAAAGAAGACACATTATCGTCCTTATCTCTCCGTTCTTGTGTAGGTTGCTCCCTAGTAACGCCTCAAGTTTTCGACACGTATATGACCTAATTGTGCTGCAATTGCTGTAAAACTCTTACTAAAACTAAAAAGAAGACACAATCTGTTCTATAGACCGAATTGCTGACATCCCCTGTGACATGATTATTCCATGTGTCATATCCTCACAACTGTCTGCGTTTTCCATCCCCAGCCATGGGTGGTTGACGGGTGCTCTGATGTAGTTTGCACCTTCTTTCCTATCAACATCTAACGTTCTTATCTCTCCTCCTCCTCCTCCTCCTCCTAACAAAAAAACAACTGAATTTCTTTAACAACACCTTCAATCTTCAGCATTTATATGACTTATTTGTGTTGCAAGTACCGTAAAACTTACTAAAACTAAAACATCCCCAGCCCTGCCCTGTCTGCTTCTGCTGTTGTCCAGTCCGTTTGAGCGAGTGCGAGGAGTGGCCTTCACCTTGCTGTCTACGCTGACCAAAGACCTGAGCTCGGAGACCAGCAACTACAAGTGGACGGCCAACAGTTTGATGAGATATAAGGAGGAGGTGGTCAAGGATGAGAACTTTCTGCCACAGGTCTGTATAGCCAATGATTGTAGTGAATGCGGCTGTTGTACTCCCTTATAACCGGCATCTGTGGAAAAACAATTGGGTGCTTTGCTGTCATTTGCAGGAGACCCAAGTTCGGTTCTCCAGTGGGCAGAATTTTTATCAAGCGTCTCAGGTCTTTCTGCTGGGATATTGTTTCCCTCTCAGCCCTGCTTTGTTTCATAAGCACTGTTAGTTGTTCGAAGTCTTGTCTGAGTTGTGTTTTATATTTCGTCTGCTGATCTTTTGATCTCAGTCTTTTGTGTTTGAGGATCATAAACACTATTACTATGTGCCATTTTGTGTGTCCAAGGAATAGACTCTTCAAGGTGTTTTATATTGTTGTAATTATATTGTTCATTGATGCCCATTGCTTGTATTTGATCTACAAATCTTATGATATCATTTAATATAATATGTTTTTTGTTGTTGTCAACACTTATAAGTTAATATAACAAATGAAATGGGTTGTGCAGACAGTACAGCAGTGAGAGCATACAATCAGAAATGAGATGGAAACAGAGGAAGAGGCAAACTCAGGAAAAGTTGGATAGAGGGGGTCAGAAAAATACTTGTCGATGACAACATAACTGTGCTACAGGCGATATGATACGACAAATAAGAGAAAGACGTTTGCTTCTCCTCTCAACACCATATGGTAACAGGAACCAGTAAAAGTAAAAAGTGATAAGTACGTATAAGTTGAGTCCATCGACAAATTCTCTCTACCCTTACCACCTGCAGGTTTTGAAGAACATTCTGGAATCGGAAGATGCAGTTGTCTCCCCTCCCTCTCCCAAGAAGCGGAGAAAAAGCAGCAGCAAACTTCCCCCGTCGTCTGTAGCGCTGTCGTTTCTGATGGACGTGATTCTGGATGCGGCCACCCCGGGCACTGTCAAGGTCGGCCTGCTGAGAGTGCTGCACCGACTGGACACTGCTGTACGTGTTTTATAAGCTTGCTTCTCTCTCTCTCTCTCTCTCTCTCTCTGTCTTTCCTTTTTTGTCTTGTCTGTCTGTCTCTTATCTCTTTTTCTCTCTCTATCCCTCTCTCTTGTCTCTGTCACTATTGTTTGTCTTCTCCCATTTTCTCTCCCTCACTCTCTCTGTCTGTCCCCCCTCCCCCCCTCTCCCCCTCTTTCTCTGCGTGTGTCTGTCTCTTCCTCTGC